ACACAACATGAATCAAACATGCACTTTATTCATTTACACTAAATGTCAAAAGTACATCAAAACTGATTGGAGCTAAGGGCATACAAAACTGTCTAACAATAACAACTAGTTTTTTTCGGGTATCTTGGGCAATTGAATTATGTTCAATTTGGCAATTCTTATAAATAGCCATATCCTCCACCATTCTCATCACACCAATTCAACAATCAACATTCAACAATTCTCTTATTAAGTTATTCTCTTAATCTCTTCAGTCTTTCCTCTCTCAGTCTCTCAGACTCTCAGTCTCTCATACATTCTCTACAATCTGAGTGAACTCTGATAGTCTCATAGTTTGATTGGTTGATTATTTGATTCTCCAAGTTAGCAATTTGGGAGGCTTGGAGCCTTGGATGTTGTCACGTTGAAAGGCTTTAACCGTTGAAATCAATTTGGGATTCTGAACCAGCAATCCGGGGTGTCCAACTAAATTAATATTTTTTTTAGAATTTGAAAAGAAAATGGCCAGTTCTTCCCAAAACCCCAAGTTTCGTAGCCCGATTTGGAGAATATTTAAAATAGAGGATGTTGAGGGAAAGGGGAAAGAGTAGTTTGCCAAAAATGTAGAAAAGTTTTTAGCTATTGTAGCAAGGGTGGTACTAGCCATTTGACCAGACATTTTCTCACACATGAGAAGGAAGAAGAAATAACCCACAATTTAAATGATTTTTTTTTTTAAATAATGGAAAATAAAATTTAAAAGTATTGGAAGAAGTCGGAGTCTCAGAGAACATTTCTCACCGCCAATATCGCCATGGCACGTGACATGATCTACTAACCCTTCCGGTGTCTACAGGCTATAGTTCTATTGAAGTCTTGTTTTGTTGCTTTAGTGCAGGACCTGCAGGTACCACACTACCACTATACCAGAGTTGGCTAGATGAAATCATGAATCATGATGCAGAATATAGATTACAACTTTACAATTACAAGACAAAGGAAGGCATGATACTACTACATACACTGGATATTTCATTTTTCACCTAAAGCAGATGATGAAAGTGTGTGTAAATGCTTTCATCATAATGTATATGTAAATTTTAACAAATAGCCCACAATTTTTTATTTTGTCAAATTATTGTAAATTTTGTTTTAATTTTATTTAATTTATTTGCTATTAATGTAATTTTGTATTTTCAATTTGTAACTATATAGTCTATATAGTCTATAATTCTATATTGTATTTTTATGATTTATTAATTTATTCTATTTTCATATTTCATTCATCCAAGTATGAAGTTTATGAAGTATCCAACCATTGTATATTTCATAATTTCAATATTTATATAATTGTATGCTTTGTAATTTGTATCATTGTTCATTCAAATTTAAATGAAATTAAATTCTTAAATTCCTATTTGAATTGTTATTATTTATACTTTTATTTATTTATTCTTTGGGTAATCATAAATTCGTTATTATTTGTATCCTGTCCTGATATCCATAATCCAGTCAATGAGTCTAGTCCAGTTCGGCTCAGGCCCAAGGCTCGCCTATGGCCCAACCCGACACGGCCCAAGCCCACGGCATGACCTGCAGCTCGGTCTAGCCCAGGCCCGCAACACAGCATGGCACGATATGGCACGACCCACTTTACACCTCTAGCTTTAATAGAATATGATGAATACCAAACCCTACCCAGGGCTGGGCCCTGCTGTGGCCCATGAGTCTTATCTCAAACTTAAGTAAAACAAGGCTGCACGCTCAAACCTAGTCAAACTTTTGAATTTCTAGATCACGAATCTACCATATTTGTGTCATTAATGAGTTTCACGCCATATTTGGGAGTGCTTAATTAAAAATAAGTAATTAAAATAAGTGTTTATTTGAATAAATAATTATATGTATTTAATATCCAACTTTTCAAATATTTATTTTAAAAAATAAGCACTTATTTTATATTGGGTATTTGGTAATCTTTAAAATCCTCTTCGGCATGGGTCCTCTCTTACTTGTCACATATAATGGGCTTTTGCAAGAAGCAATTTTGGAGATCTAGCAAAAGAGAGAAGCAGGAATCTTGAATGGGGCCCAGTAAATTCCAGAGTTCAGACTAAAACCGTTGTCACATGGGAAAACAAGTCATGTTCAAAATAAATCAATGAGTAATTATTAATTTGCCCACTCTCATGCTAACGTGCCTAACCCTGAAACGCTCTCAACAGCCAAAGTTTTTCCGATATTTTTTATTGATAAACGGCAACACAACATGAACCCAGGTCTACTCACTTTCACCACTGCAGCCGCACATTTCACAATACAGGGCGTTGTGTGGCTGCAATTCAAGGCGGGCTAGAGTGTGGGTAGAGAGAAGTGGGCAGGAAATCCAATTTTGATACAACATGGTGTCATGTGCTGATGTGGACTAGAACTGAATTTGGCCAGTCCAGAATATACCCTCTCTGGTAAATGGTTTAGACTCTTTCTCTATCACACACACACAATACACTCAGTTGGTTCTACATAAGGGTGTCAATGGACTGATTTTGGACCCCGTCCAGTCCAAAATCATTTTGGACAGATTGGATTGGACCAATCCATTCCAAAATATTTATTAGATTGGACTGGAGCTGGTCCGTCTATATTAGATTGGGTTGAAATCAATCTATTTGAACAGATTGATCGGTCCGGACATTGAACTGGACCAATCTAAAATGGTCCAAAATATTTATTGGATTGGATTGGACCCAGTCCATTTGTAATGGATTCACATTGGACTGGATCAGATTGAAACAAATCAAGTCCAATTGACACCCCTAGAACTTCTATGAGGGGTAAAAGTAAAACTGAATTGAATAATTTGTAGATCTGGACGTCTTGTAAGTAAATGGATAAAAGGGCTGGGGACAAGTTCACATCTTCACCCCCAACACCCCACAGCACATTCCTGCCATATATTTGGAACATCTCTCGATGATGATATCATCAATTCTAGTATTATCATTGGGAGATATCCCAATACACGGTGGAGTTATGCTGTGGGGCGTTGTAAGGCGGTCCCTTGTGGGGCGGAGATGTGATCTCGGCCGGGGACGGGGGCTGACTACGCCCTGACACGAATGTTCAAAATCAGAACGAGATATGATAATTGAGTGGGCCTAAAAGTGGTTTCATGATGTGGCTGACGGTATAGAATAGAATAGAAGCATCGCGGGCTGGGCCTTTATTTTTTCAAGCCAATGGTGGGCTGGGCCTTGATGTGTGTGCTAAGGAATTAATTAGAGGCTCCACGCTTGAAAAAGGGGAAAATGTTAATATTTACGTTATGGGTATTCAGTGTGAACGCCACTACCCATCTTATGGTTGGAATTGGAAACGTGAGCTTCAATAAATGGCCGAGGGAGAAAAGCTGTTTCTCGTGATACTCACTCCTTTTAAGTGGAATACCTGATCTCCTTTGGGACTTGTTCGAAGCTTGAAATTACTTAGCAGATGTCTTTACCATAAGAGACAGAAAGAGAGAGAGAATATAAAAATTGGAGGAAAAGAGTGAAAGAATGTTCAGAAAAGAAGGAAACTTATGCTAAGCATATCCAATTATCCATAGCCAAAAATACAAAGTTATGCGTTTTAATGACAAAAATATTTAAAGCTTATAACGCATCAATGTATAGAGGGAGCATGAGAGTACCCAAGCAGTTTGACTTGGATTTGCAGTGCAGTCAGATTCGGATCACGTTACACATAACACATCCATCCAGGTAGCATGCATGTTTTGTTGCTGTTTCCTCTGCCTCTGTAGTCTCTCTTCTCTGAATACTCAATATAAAAAATCAGCTTACTGTGACTTCACGCTACGCTGTTGCTGGTGCTTCTCCCCCAGGTGAATCCCCCTGCGGCCCTGCGCCTCTCTCTTCGGTGACCCACAGCCCCAGCGACGAAACCCCCCCGACCCCCGATAACAGCTGGAGTGCTCGTGTCTCTTACCCACCTTGGCCTGAAAAAACAAAACAAACCGATTTTGTTCTTTTTTAGTAATAATACCTTGTTATTCTACTAAAATCTGATTTTGTTCTTTTAAATTAAATATTAATTTTTATACAGCTTTAACGTAATTTGCTCCCACTGACCCCTGCCAAATATTCAAATAAATACTAATAAAAAAAAAGGAAAATCAGAATTCAGAAACAAGGCAGATAATTCTGACTTCTGCCCTATGAGCATAAATTCCTCCGTGATTCTCCCACCCTTACTGAAACCATTCTTTTCTCGTGCTTTTCTTTGTTCAGTGACTTCTGCTCTCATTCTCACTCACTCAGACCTTTTCTTTGTTCAGAGACAAAAACAGAGCATCCGCTTTCTGCTCTTGTTACATTCCGAATACAAATAAGAACCTAACCCAATTACGGATGTATCAAATTATCAATTATCATGCACCTCTAATTCCTCATGTAATCCAAAATGGATTTCTTCTTCGAAATCCCCCACGCAACTATTCTCTTTTATCAAGCCCTCCCCCCTCCACCCAAAGCCTGAGACTGTATTCCCACCCCAGTAGCATAAGCAGAAAGCCGGCTACTGTTTTATCATTAATTGCCCCTTTCGAAGATTTCCCGTTTCCTGAACCTATACGTCTCTCTCTCTCTCTTCCAGAAACTAAACCCATTTAAATTAAACCCCTTGAAGGATTTCTCTTCTCCTAAAAAATGACACATCATCGCACGATTCGCTCCCTGTTAGTTCTTTTCTCTGTTTTGCTCCTCTTCCTCCTCCCTTGTTTTCCGGCCACCTCTCTTACAGAAGACGCTATCTTCTTACACCGAGTTAAGAATTCTCATCTCGATGATCCCACCGGTAGCCTCAACGATTGGAATCTAACCCCGCAAGTCGCTAACATTACTCCCTGTAATTGGACTGGCATTGTCTGCGATCCTCTTTCCCTCTCCATTATCTCTATCGACCTCTCAGGACTCCACATCTACGGCTATTTTCCTGCTGATTTCTGCCGCATTCCCACCCTTCAGAACCTCTCCCTCGCTGATAATTTCTTCAACGGTTCCCTTACTTCTGCTTCCATTTCTTCCTGCTCCCACCTTCACCATTTGAATCTCTCCCTCAACTTGTTCGTCGGTAACTTACCCGACTTCACTCCCGATTTTGTCAACTTGCGCTCCTTGGATCTCTCGTTTAACAACTTCTCCGGCCACATTCCCCCGAGCTTCGGCCGTTTTCCCAACCTCACTATCTTCTGTCTACAAGAAAACCTGCTCAATGGTATCATCCCCGCCTTCCTTACCAATCTCACCCAGCTCACTAGATTAGAACTGGCTTACAACCCTTTCGCCCCAGGTCCCTTGCCATTGCATATTGGAAACCTCACCATGCTAGAAAATCTATGGCTTCCTAAATGTAATCTCGTCGGAGAGATTCCAGATTCTTTAGGAAATCTTGTTTCGCTCAGAAATCTCGATCTTTCCGACAACTATCTTTCCCACAGGATACCGGAGAGCATTGGAGGATTGAAGAGCGTACAGCAGATTGAGCTCTTCAATAATCTCTTCTACGGTGAATTGCCGGACAATCTCGGAAATCTCACTGCGCTAAAATGGTTTGATGCATCTCAGAACAATCTTACCGGAAGATTGCCCGGTAAATTAGCTGGTCTACATTTGGTTTCCCTAGCTCTAAACGACAATAACTTGGAAGGCGAGATTCCGGAGATTTTATCTTCGAACCCTGGGCTTGCACAACTGAAGCTCTTCAACAACAGTTTTTCCGGCACTCTACCTTTGGATTTAGGCCGGAATTCAAATCTTGAAGACTTCGATGTTTCCAGCAACAGTCTCGTAGGAAAGCTGCCCCCATATCTGTGCTACCGTGGGAAGCTTCAACGCCTGGTCGCTTTCAACAATCGGTTTTCTGGAGAACTCCCGGAACAATACAGTGACTGCAAAAGTCTCACGTACGTGAGGATCTTCGATAACGAACTTGAAGGAAAGGTACCGGATGGAATTTGGAGCCTCCCCAGGCTATATTTACTTGAAATGTCCAACAACGGTTTCGAAGGATCGGTTTCTCCTGCAATTTCCGGCGCTCAGAATCTCACGAAATTATTGATCTCTGGTAACAATTTCTCTGGCGAGATTCCGGCGGAGATTTGTGGTTTGCAAACGCTTCAAGTTATCGACGGAAGCAGAAATAGATTCTCCAGTGAGCTTCCGTCATGTATAACCGGAATTAGGCGATTAAATAAGTTGGACCTCCAAGAGAACTTGCTCTCGGGAGAGATTCCGGACAAATTAAGTTCTTGGAATGATTTAGTGGAGCTCAATCTATCGAACAACAAATTCTCTGGCAAAATTCCAAGCGAGCTTGGTATGTTACCGGTCCTAACGTACCTAGATCTATCTAGAAACCTACTTTCCGGGGCAATCCCGGCGGAGCTAACCAAACTGAACCTCAACAAATTCAATCTCTCGGACAACAAGCTGAGCGGCAAAATTCCTAGTGGTTTTGCTTACAATGTATACGCGGATAGCTTGGACGGGAATCCTAATCTCTGCAGTGTGGAATCAGTAAAACCATTCCCTCGGTGCCCGAAAGTAAAATCCGCCACCGCCTGGTTTCTAGTTGCAGTTTTCGCTTCCTTGGCTTTGTTACTTGTGTTGGTTATTTTCTGGTTGTATAAGAGCAGGGTGGAGGAAATTGGCGGGGAAACAAAGTCGCCATGGAAGCTGACATCATTCCACCGGCTGAGTTTCAAGGAGGAGGAGGTGTTTTCTTCACTAACAGAGGAAAACCTGATCGGAACGGGAGGATCAGGTCAGGTGTATAGGGCGAAGCTGAAATCCGGACAGATGGTGGCGGTGAAGAAGCTGTGGGAAGGTAGCGGGAGACCGAAGACAGACGTAGCGTTCCGGTCGGAGGTGGAGACGTTGGGGAGAATCAGGCACGGCAACATCGTGAAACTGTTGTTCAGTTGCACTAGCGAGGGCGACGACTGTAGGGTGTTGGTGTACGAGTACATGGAAAAGGGGAGCTTGGGAGAGCTTCTGCATGGGGAAAAGGGTGGGATCCAGCTGGACTGGCCCAAGAGGTTCAAAATAGCGGTGGGGACGGCACAGGCGTTGGCGTATCTCCACCACGACTGTGTGCCGGCCATCGTCCACCGGGATGTTAAGTCCAACAACATTTTATTGGACAATGAATTCAATCCCCATGTGGCTGATTTTGGGCTGGCGAGGACGTTGCAGCGGGAGGTCTGCGACGGCGATGGTGAACTCGTTACGTCTCGGGTAGCGGGTTCTTATGGCTACATTGCCCCGGGTGAGTAGACAGTTGAATTGGTTTCCCATTTATGATTTCTCATTCTTATTCTTCTATTTTATGTTTGATTACCGTTAATGATTAATTGATGAAACGGGCTTCCTCAAAATGTAGAGTATGCGTACACTTTCAAGGTGACGGAGAAGAGCGACGTTTACAGCTTCGGAGTCGTGTTAATGGAGCTGGTGACGGGTAAGAGGCCGACAGACCCGTCGTTTGGGGAGAACAAGGACATGGTGAAGTGGGTAACGGAGGCTGCAGTCGCCGCCTGTAAGGAAGACACAGAATTATTGGTTAAGAAGGTTATAGATGCAAGGATGAATGTGGATAGTTGCGATTACCAGGAAATAAACAAGGTATTGAACGTGGCTCTTCTGTGTACTTCAACCTATCCTCTGAGCCGGCCTACCATGAGAAGGGTGGTTGAGTTGCTCAAGGATCACACATCTGTTGGTTATTCTGGCCTACCGCCTTGTATCAAATGATCATCTCTTTCTTTGATTTCTTATCCTATCCTTTGTTTTTTTTTTTTTTTTGTCGATGCATGGAGCAAAAACAATTCCTTTAGACGTGTACAGATATACAACTGTATCGTCCAGATATGAATACATAGAAATCAACAAGATCCCATTAATGTCGATATATAAAACCTGTTGTTTGCCATTTCATGAACTGGTGAGGAAGGTTGTGTGCCATTTCATTCATTAAATCAACACCAGAGATGTGGGACCGGGGGGGGGGATTGATTTCGGCATAACCCTTCTTTATCATATTTACCACTGACATTTGAAATCAAACTGACTTCTTCCAAACAACATCATCTGGAATGCAACTTAAATCAATGAGATACAAAAACTGTGAGCCCTCACCCTCAGGATGCATAGCTGTCTGGGTCGAATGCAGGCATCAACTTGGGGAGAATCCCGGTTTGATGGCAGAGTTGCTGATCCTTTTTAAGATGCAAATCTGTTGCAAAGTTATAGGGTGTCCCCAATCGTCAATCCCCATTGGTCCTCTCATCCTCTGTGCTTCCGTTTCCAAGAATTGCGTACAATGTCATCACACTGAAGTGACCCCAACAAATCCATATGCCCAATGAGAAAATCACTAAATATGTTTCTAAAAGAGAGACATGATACAGATTTTCCACTTCATGTAAGTACCAACTTACACATGGGCTCACATTAAATTCAATTCATCTGGGTTCACATTATCTGCACTTTGAATACAGTAGCTCCAAACTGATTTACATGGTAGGGAAGCTTGTCTCTTTTATTGGGGAATGTAGCCTTGGCCTTGGGCTACACTCTTGATGCAGGCAGCAGAAGGGATCCTTATCCTAGATAAGAGGGCAGAGCATAGATTAAGGCAGAACAGTCAAATCTAGGGGTGTTTAATTTTAGCATTCTAGGGGGTGGCAATACTGGATTGAACGAACAATTAAACCATTTAGCAAATTCTTGCCAGGTGCAATTCAAATTCTGAATGAATAATGCTCCATAGCGAAGGATCAGGATGGTAAGAGAGATGTCATTGTGAAAATGACTATTCTGTAGCCCCAGTGCCATATGTATGACTAACGCAGACCAGTAATTTGGCATCATCTGCTTCATTTCATTTTTCCATTTTCGCAAAGCCAGACAGCCTCTCAAGTCTCAAGTCAAACTTTGGAAGACATGGAATGGAGGCACATGGCATGATGGCAAAGTTTGAATTCTGGCCTGGACTGAAGTACAATAATGCTCTCGTTCAAACAGGTCAGGCCAAGCTACATAATGATGCCACTGCTCTGTGGAGATTTGAAGTTTATCGTAAGTATTGAAGACTTTTCGGCACAATTTCTTTTGTTTTCTTTCCTCCTTTGTCCTAACATTAAATGATTTATCGGGTTAGGATTTGGAAGGCAACGATCATGTCACATGCAAACGAAGGAAGTCAAATTCTCCAGAGACCTCCTAGCTTGTCCTCTTCACCTACCAAGAGTTCCGTTAATTATCTTTTTTTTTTTTTTTTTCTCATTTCCGAAGAATTTGACTTCCTTCGTTTGGCGCCAAGTATGGAATGGAAGAGACCAAGGTTATTCCTTTCATTCGTAGTCCTGATCATAGACCATACACCTTCAAAGAAGAATAATTAACGGACACCCATTGATTTATAGCAGAAACTAGAAAGTAAGTTTGATGTGAAAAATTACAATTCGGCCGGCCACTATTTCATTTTAGACTCGTTAATTCGATCACTCTGTAACAGTTAGAGCAAAATTAACAGGAAACTTAGAAGAGGTTATGCAGTGTTCACCATATCTCTTGATTAATTCCTCGGCTAAAAACATGAATTCAATAATTCACCAGAAAAATAGGCTCGCCTTTTTTTTGTCTTAGAAGTTAGAACTGTAATCCAAAGGGATATAGATTCTAGAAAAAAACGATCAATCTTGACGTTCGTTTCGGCTGAACCGGTGAATATTCGTAGCTAGTAGAATTCCATTGCTTTTACCTTTACCAACTGGATCAGTTATAAAAAGCAGTTAACTGCCGAAGATATCATCTGATTTTGTTCCCAGAAACTTGAACTTGTAGCAGGTGATGATGGTTCATAAGATATATAGCGTACAACAGAAACCTAATGGAAAGTGGAAACTCACCAGAGGAAACCGCCGGCGTATCTGACAAAGGAGAAGCTCGTGCGACTGGAAGATGTGGAAACTGGCGGAGGAGAGTTGCCGTAGAAAGCACTTTGTTTTAAAAGTTTAAAAGGTGGCAGAGAGAAGAGAAGGAAGGGGCACTAGAAGTAGAAACTAAACTGAAGAGACTGATGGAGAGCAAGAGCGAGCGAGCGAGCGAGAGAGAGAGAGAGAGAGAACAGATCCTCACCTGACAGAGAGGTGAGGAGAGTTGCATGGAATCTTCTTATATAGGAGATGGGGGAGGGCACATTGTCCTTTTCCCTTCAGTTTAGCCATATCCTTTGTCAATTGTTATCTTCTCCGCGGATTGTATTTTGATGGTGCGATTTCCTTTTGTAATCCACTTTTTCTCTTCTTCATTGGGCTGTATATCCATCACAGGATTCTTCGTTCTACTCTAACCGCAGATGAGGACCATTTTAACAACTGCTAAGGCTCCGTTTTGAAAGAATGCAAATACTCTTCTGTCAACTTCTAAGGACCTCTCTTCTTCATTGGAATGCCTCAATTATCTCGATATTCGGTGTCGACCGGCGGAACTCGAAAGAGTTAATCTCCGGTGGGTTACCGAAGGGGGTGTCAAGGGTTTGAAACGGCGTCAGGGGTTCTCACTCCGGCGGGTTTTAGATCTGAGAATGTTAGAAAACGAATGAGAAAAAAAAATAAGAAATGAGAAAAACTTACAGAATACTTATCTCCTGTCGGTATGACCGTCGGCGTCGGCCGGCGGAACTCGAAAGGGTTAATCTCCGGTGGGTGGGTTACGAAAGGGGGCGCCAAGAATTTCAATTTGACAGTAGATGGGAGAAGAATACCCCGAAACCTTTTGGGCGGGAAGGAATTAACGGACGTGTTTAAAACGGCGTGAAATGGAGTCCGCACGCGTCACGCCCAATGCGCGTGTGTCATGACACGCGTCGCGCTAGGTTTCGTGGAACGTTTTTGGAGGCAGATGCGAACCCTCTAAATACTGTCATCCTCTACCGCCTTTTAAGATTTCTTTTTTTCTTTCTATATTTTCCTCAATCATTCTGGGGTGGTGTTCGCCAACATATATCATCTGACTCGTTTTCAACACAAAACCCAATTCCACATCAGCAAAATCAATATTATTTTGCTAATGTCGTGGCAGTTGTAACTTAATTAACCCTTTGAGCTAGCTCAGTGTGAATTTCATTTGCACTACCATATAAATGCTACAAGGAATTGCAAATGGGTTGAGTTCGAATTTTGCGTTTTGTCATGTTTTGTTTGAGAGATAATAATAGTAACTAAGGTTGGACTATGACGCCGGAAAACGGGAAACCTTATAACCCATAAGCCTGCATTCATATATAAAAGTGGTAATGAATCAGGTGGGTTTTCATCAAAATTCACTCGGGGTGTTTGATTAGTCAAATAAAATGCATGGCACAGATCTGTTCTAGTATAAAAGGTGCCAACCATTTGGTTGATAGGGTCTCCTGTTGGTCCTAGCGGATATTTGAATTGAATCCCACTTGCACCTGGGTTGGGGGTTGGGGGATGGGGGATGAGTACTCTCATTGTGTAGCGGTTCAAAAGATATCAAAAAAGAAAAAAAAAAAGAAGAAAATATCTATTATAGTATTCAATTAAAAAAAATGCATCGTTAACTTTAGAAATAGAATTTAATTACCAAACTATCAAATCCAATATAGCTTCCTTTGTCTAATTAAAAAACCAGCTCAAAGTTTAGACTTACCATGCCAATAATATGGCCCTTAATTTATGGGTGTTTGACAACATGCCAATAATACAGGACACCTGTACTGTCCTGTATTTGCATATTATCATTCACAGGGAGATGTTCCCACAAGAACCCTACTCAATTTAGTCTCCTACCCATAAAAATCCTATCCATAGCTATCCACATGACACTACAGGTGTACATTGGGAACATCTCCCGTGAATGATAATATGTAAATACAGGAGATATTCTAAATATACAGCCATAATGAAGCATGAATAGGGTTCTTGTGGACAGGAGATCCGAACTGCAAATAAAATGTATGTATGTTTGAAATGGTTACCCCATCCAAAGAAGGACGGGGTCGATAACTAGTTTTCCAGGCTCGGATCTGCTACCCATGAGCTGTTCCCACATCTCTACCCACGAGACATTACAGCTGCGCATTGGGTAGGGGTGTGAGAACAACTTGTGGGTTGCAGATCCTGAGTTCTAGTTTACCAACTATTGTTGGGATAATCTTTTATGTCATATTTGTATTCCATAGCCCATAGACATAGTCGGAAATCGGAATAAAGCTTACTTGAGTTTGGTTGGAAGGTTGTGCCCTTGTCGAGTTTGATCCGATTGGGTCCTAAGGCTTGCATCCCTGATTAGGAGATTGGGTGTTCTTCAACCCCTTTCCAACCCAACCCATAATTAGCCCGAGTAGCCCAAGTCCACCCACCGGTGACCGGTTCATCACATCAATATGTAGTTTTTGCATGTATTTCTTATTTTTATTTTTCTTATCTGGACAATACAACCCAAAGAAAATACAGCAACAAAACAATGCAAGGAAAGCCCATCAAACTCTACTAACCTTTCCAGGCCCAAGTACGGCCCAAACTGTGGTTGGTTTTAATTCAGAATGGGCTTGGATTCACCCAAATTAAATTTCATGAGCTTGGACTGAGCTTCACATTTGTGGTAAACTCAGAGTTCGCCCTTTTCTCCTCTTATTATGACGGACACAGCCCGTGATGCTAATGACTAAGCATTTCTGTTGGTTACATCAAGCTATTAGCTAAAGAGGACCTGTTTTATTACAGTGAGCAACATTCTGGCTTCTATTGAATGATAATTTCATTTTTATGAAAGCCCTTTCATTTCAGTTTTATTTTCCCAAAATATATTCAGAAAATACCCAATTCTTTTGTGGAATGGTGGTACTACAACTTATAGAGCCCAGACCCAAGAA